CTGTCATTGTAAAATTCGTGAAGACTTGTCTGGTTGAACTGCACTCACAGTCAGCCAGTTCATCTCCGTTTTCTATTCCCTTCGGCGTTCCCGTTTTCTTTGAGTCTGAGAACCGGGTGGCTGAATTTCTCGCTTTTTCTAAATCCTTTTCTCCTTCTTCTTCTTCTTCTTCTTCGTAATCGCCTTCGTCATATTCTCTTTCGTCTTCGTATTCCTCCGGGAGATGCGTTGATGCGTTAATCGGTGTTTCTCCTTCCTTTTCATCTTCTTCTTCTTCTCCTTCTTCGTCACGTCTTTCTTCGTGTTCCGCCTCCTCTCCTTCGTTAAATCCTCCTCTCCTCCCTATTTTCCCTCCTTCCTCTCCATCGTCATCCATTCCTATCTCCTTCTCTCTACCGTGCATCACTTCCTCAATTATCATCTGTTCTTCCTCCTCTCTTTCTTCTTATATATATATATATATATATATATATATATATATATATATATATATATATATATATATATATATATATATATATATATATATATATATATATATATATATATATATATATATATATATATATATATATATATATATATATATATATATATATATATATATATATATATATATATATATATATATATATATATATATATATATATATATATATATATATATATATATATATATATATATATATATATATATATATATATATATATATATATATATATATATATATATATATATATATATATATATATATATATATATATATATATATATATATATATATATATATATATATATATATATATATATATATATATATATATATATATATATATATATATATATATATATATATATATATATATATATATATATATATATATATATATATATATATATATATATATATATATATATATATATATATATATATATATATATATATATATATATATATATATATATATATATATATATATATATATATATATATATATATATATATATATATATATATATATATATATATATATATATATATATATATATATATATATATATATATATATATATATATATATATATATATATATATATATATATATATATATATATATATATATATATATATATATATATATATATATATATATATATATATATATATATATATATATATATATATATATATATATATATATATATATATATATATATATATATATATATATATATATATATATATATATATATATATATATATATATATATATATATATATATATATATATATATATATATATATATATATATATATATATATATATATATATATATATATATATATATATATATATATATATATATATATATATATATATATATATATATATATATATATATATATATATATATATATATATATATATATATATATATATATATATATATATATATATATATATATATATATATATATATATATATATATATATATATATATATATATATATATATATATATATATATATATATATATATATATATATATATATATATATATATATATATATATATATATATATATATATATATATATATATATATATATATATATATATATATATATATATATATATATATATATATATATATATATATATATATATATATATATATATATATATATATATATATATATATATATATATATATATATATATATATATATATATATATATATATATATATATATATATATATATATATATATATATATATATATATATATATATATATATATATATATATATATATATATATATATATATATATATATATATATATATATATATATATATATATATATATATATATATATATATATATATATATATATATATATATATATATATATATATATATATATATATATATATATATATATATATATATATATATATATATATATATATATATATATATATATATATATATATATATATATATATATATATATATATATATATATATATATATATATATATATATATATATATATATATATATATATATATATATATATATATATATATATATATATATATATATATATATATATATATATATATATATATATATATATATATATATATATATATATATATATATATATATATATATATATATATATATATATATATATATATATATATATATATATATATATATATATATATATATATATATATATATATATATATATATATATATATATATATATATATATATATATATATATATATATATATATATATATATATATATATATATATATATATATATATATATATATATATATATATATATATATATATATATATATATATATATATATATATATATATATATATATATATATATATATATATATATATATATATATATATATATATATATATATATATATATATATATATATATATATATATATATATA